AGATAACAAGTGTCACTGAGTTTACCTGTGCCAGTAAGATAACCAGTGTCACTGAGTTTACCTGTGCCAGTAAGATAACCAGTGTCACTGAGTTTACCTCTGTCAGTAAGATAACCAGTGTCACTGAGTTTACCTGTGCCAGTAAGATAACCAGTGTCACTGAGTTTACCTGTGTCAGTAAGATAACCAGTGTCATTGAGTTTACCTGTGCCAGTAAGATAACCAGTGTCACTGAGTTTACCTGTGCCAGTAAGATAACCAGTGTCACTGAGTATACCTGTGCCAGTAAGATAACCAGTGTCACTGAGTTTACCTGTGCCAGTAAGATAACCAGTGTCACTGAGTTTACCTCTGTCAGTAAGATAACCAGTGTCATTGAGTTTACCTGTGCCAGTAAGATAACCAGTGTCACTGAGTTTACCTCTGTCAGTAAGATAACCATGTCATTGAGTTTACTTGTGCCAGTAAGATAACCAGTGTCACTGAGTTTACCTGTGCCAGTAAGATAACCAGTGTCACTGAGTTTACCTCTGTCAGTAAGATAACCAGTGTCATTGAGTTTACCTCTGCCAGTAAGATAACCAGTGTCACTGAGTTTACCTGTGCCAGTAAGATAACCAGTGTCACTGAGTTTACCTGTGCCAGTAAGATAACCAGTGTCATTGAGTTTACCTGTGCCAGTAAGATAACCAGTGTCACTGAGTTTACCTGTGCCAGTAAGATAACCAGTGTCATTGAGTTTACCTGTGCCAGTAAGATAACCAGTGTCAATGAGTTTACCTGTGCCAGTAAGATAACCAGTGTCATTGAGTTTACCTGTGCCAGTAAGATAACCAGTGTCACTGAGTTTACCTCTGTCAGTAAGATAACCAGTGTCACTGAGTTTACCTCTGTCAGTAAGATAACCAGTGTCATTGAGTTTACCTGTGCCGGTAAGATAACCAGTGTCACTGAGTTTACCTCTGTCAGTAGAAACCAGTGTCATGGTTTACTGTCCAGTAGATAACCAGTGCACGGTTTACCTTGCAGTAGATACATTGTCATGAGTTTACCTGTGCAGTAAGATAACCAGTGTCACTGAGTTTACCTCTGTCAGTAAGATAACCAGTGTCATTGAGTTTACCTGTGCCAGCAAGATAACCAGTGTCACTGAGTTTACCTGTGCCGGTAAGATAACCAGTGTCATTGAGTTTGCCTGTGCCAGTAAGATAACCAGTGTCACTGAGTTTACCTGTGCCGGTAAGATAACCAGTGTCATTGAGTTTACCTCTGTCAGTAGATAACCATGTCCATTTACGTGCCAGTAAGATAACCAGTGTCACTGAGTTTACCTGTGCCAGTAAGATAACCAGTGTCACTGAGTTTACCTGTGTCAGTAAGATAACCAGTGCCACTGAGTTTACCTGTGCCAGTAAGATAACCAGTGTCACTGAGTTTACCTGTGCCAGTAAGATAACCAGTGTCACTGAGTTTACCTGTGCCAGTAAGATAACCAGTGCACTGAGTTTACCTGTGCCAGTAAGATAACCAGTGTCACTGAGTTTACCTGTGCCAGTAAGATAACCAGTGTCAATGAGTTTACGTGTGCCAGTAAGATAACCAGTGTCACTGAGTTTACCTGTGCCAGTAAGATAACCAGTGTCACTGAGTTTACCTGTGCCAGTAAGATAACCAGTGTCAATGAGTTTACGTGTGCCAGTAAGATAACCAGTGTCACTGAGTTTACCTGTGCCAGTAAGATAACCAGTGTCACTGAGTTTACCTGTGCCAGTAAGATAACCAGTGTCAATGAGTTTACGTGTGCCAGTAAGATAACCAGTGTCACTGAGTTTACCTGTGCCAGTAAGATAACCAGTGTCTGGATACATAAAAAAATGAAAACTTTATCCAGATGCTTTCATAATAATGCTGTAACACTCACATGGATACATATTCAAGAATGTACCCTCAAGGATGTACTCAAGGATACATGCTCAAGGATACACTCACAAGGATACACTCACAAGGATGCCCTCATATAATTACGTTTAAGGCCCAACACTTAAGGATACATTCTCAAGGATCCACTCACATGGACGCACACTCCTATATACACTCACAAGGATGCATTCATGGATACATGCTCAAAAATACTCTCACAAGGATACACTTACAAATACACCCACAAGAATACGCTCTCAGGATACGTGCTCAATGATACACTCTCAAGGGCCCACCAGGATTCAGTCAAAAGAGCACACTTTCAAGGAAAGACTCTCTAGGATACATATGGATCAAGGATGCACTCACGAGGATGCACTCTCAAGAATGCACTCTGTAGGATAAGCTTTTGAAAACACACTTCCAATGATGCACTTAGAAACATACACTTGAAGGAAACACTTATAGAAATACAGTTGCATGAAGTATCCATTTATTTCGTCAGAGACAGAGATACATTGCACTACATTGTTACACATATGCATCTAAATGCATACATACCAACCTTTCGTTAACAAATTTATCAGCAATGCAAAATAAATTAATTCCATAATATTACTCACCAGAAAACTAGACATGAAAATAAAAGAAATTTATACGATTTATTTTTGTTTTTATGGAGAAATGACAACAAAAGTCTTCTTTATATTTTTAATCGGGTGGAAAACTTAGATTACTTTTATCAGCTGATGCTGAACTACTGTGTGGGTTCACTTAAGACCCACTTCAGCTGATTTTGAACCTGTGTGGATCAACAGCTGACTAAAACTCACATCAACTGATTTTGAACCTGTGTGAATCAACAGCTGACTAAGACCCTGTCAGAGTTACACCTGTACACTCATTCTGATTCTTGTATTATATAAAATTAATTATTAAGGAATACCCACTGGTGATTCAGTGTTGATTTTATTATCAATCTGGAGATTTAGTCTTCCTCTTGCGGAATTACACGAGATGTCTACTTAAACAATATTTGACTCGAGACTACCTCAGTGCAACGCCGTGTAGAGCTTTATCAAGTCATAACTTGGTAAAGCTCTGTTAAGAGCGTCGCTTTGTCTCATTAAATATTTCTTCTGCAATGTGTCTGTTCGTTCACTACCTCATCTGAGTTACAATGCTTGGGCAGGTGTGATGCTGCAGACAGCCTCAGTATACAGGATGACCAAGGCAGATACGCATACAAACACTGAGAATATATTTACAATCACTGAGTATAATTACATACATTCTGTACATGTACAATGAGTACACACACATATAGACACTGGATTTATGTACAGACGCTATCTACGTGTACATATTATTAATATCAATTTTTATGTGAAGCGCTCTAACCCTTAAGGATTATTCAGCACAATTAATGGTGGAGGCTCGATCCTCCGACTGCTAAGCGTGAGACCGACGCGCTATATACTTCTTTACGTAAATGTACAGACACTGGGTATAGAGATTTTACGATCACATAACAAAAGTCAGCTGATCTGCACTTGTCAGCCGTACTTACATGAGTCTGCACGAAGTTTAATTGATGAGATATGCGATAAACTCATAATTTAAATCATTACGTAGTGAACAATATCTCTCCTTACATTGGAAAGAATGTGAAATCATAGAAAAACCTTATTTATACCAGTACTTCGGAGTTGGTAACAAGACTACATCAGTGGCAAGTTCCTGGGGCTAGTGGGAAAAAAACCTACATAGATGCTAAACTTTTGTTAAATACAATGTTTCGCCTACTACATGCTTTATCAAGTACCTGATAATGCCTACTGCAGGTGAGACATCATTTTTAATAAAAGGTCATGTTTTGTTATATATATATTTTTTTTAGCACTTGACTACACACGGTCCCACTCCAGCTACCTGGAACTGCACAACGACATCTCATTACTGAGAACATTTACAAAATCAAGTACCACCAGTATATACCTTAAAATAATTATCCACTCATCTCTTAATTAATGTAAAGGTTTGACTTCTTATTGATCTCCATCTTAAGTAACACTCATAACTGATGTGAAGGTTTGACTCACAATATATTTCCCACCTTAGGCTACACTTATAACCAACTGACATGAACACGCAACACGCCGGGTCGTCAGAATGAAAAAGCCGTACCAGTCAAAGCTCAAACAATATCTTATTAAAATGCTTATTTTCTACGAAACTCCCCTTAGGGATTTCTTAATCTTGAGCCGTTGATGTGCCATGTCTTACGTTGGCATGATTTACAAGAAACAAGGAAAAAATGATGAGAAATAAGTATGATACGAGAGATATAATAACGTCTATGCAGATTTGTACCATTCACAGCTTGTGTATTTAGATTCATGTACGTGCATGATATTAGTAATTTTAGTTAAAATGTCACAATTTAAGATATCTGCCAGCATGATATTCTGCAGGTGGACACTCCGAGAAGATAAACACCTAATTTGTTCAGTTCTCCTTAAGTGATGTCACCCAGTATGACTAGCTTGGGTGTTTGAGTGCTTCAGTACTTAAAAACTGGAGTTCCTTGAGTTGCAATTCAAGTTTGTTAAAAAGCCGGGTTGACGGACATGAAAATGACGGGCAGAAAAACTAAGATGGTCGACATTGGCCATTGTGCCAGATATATGAAATGTATTTTATACTTATACGTAGTTTGAAAGCGAGCTGGAAGGGGCAAGAGAGTAGAAACCTATCTTTTAAAAGCAAATAATGCACTTGATATTAATTTCATTGTCAACTTTGTTCTGACCTTTTTAAACCCTTTCAAATATATATATATATTATATATATATATATATATATATATAAATATATATATATATATATATATATATATATATATATATATATGCATGCAAACAACACTGTGAAAAAATAGAGAAGTTCCAAGCGCTTTCGTGACTATCACATTATATATATATATATATATATATATATTATATATATATATATATATATATATATATATATATATAATATATATATATATATATATATATAATATAAGTAAGTTTTGTTCTAGCTTTACATGCATAGTGTTAGATGTTCTCTTGATCGATATCCTCCTTAAATTTTAAAGATAACACTGAACACATACAACTCTTCTATGCGAAAGGATTCTTATAATGTATAAATGATGTAAGAGGACAAACAAAGAGAGAATCAAAGAAGAGACTGAAGAGTCATTAGAAGCAAGTTTTAACTAAAACGACAAGTTGCTTACGAAACAAGATAACGAAACCTAAGGAGCAAATAGACTGTCATTTAAGATTATAAATGACTAGCTTCTAAAAAACTGAGTAAATGTTGACAGATGTTGAGATGAGTCGAACACTTGAGGGTACTGAATAAAATTTAGCAATTTCGTATAATTAATACATGTGTATAAGGAATCACAGACAAACGAGTGACTACAATTATACTTGCAACCATAGTCAAATACCATGAGCACTTTCGTGTGTCTATGTATGTATTTTTAAAAGAGACCAAAGAAGATTTTAGTTTATTTGTCAAGGATAATCACCTGATACACGTCTTTGTAGTAAGATGGCCCGTTCAGTAGTGTCGGTACTATGGAGGGGCGAGGATAAACTTTAGTGTCTAAGTACCATACAGCAGCGACCACTGGCTTACTCGTACTGGACTCATCGACTGTGTAAATTAGACGTATCCAATTCTCACATAAAATCGCGGTATAAGGTGCTTACACACTTGAAACCCACTGAACAGGGACTGGTATATGTTTTTTCTATCTGAACACTTCTCAGAAGTAATGATTAAGACGATTAAGAAGTAAAGAACTTAACTGCAAGCTAAAACGTCATTTACGTCTGTATAGTAATTAGTTCCTTCATGCATGAATACGGGGTCAATGGGAATGAACCAATTAGTGAGTAGTTCATGCACTGTTCAATAAACTTAGCTAGAGAGACTAATTAATGAACAATAGGAACTAAATATAGCACGAGTTTTACTAAAGCTGCTTGTATATCCCACAGCAAACAAATGAGAAATTTTTGAAAATACAATTCTGAAGTATAAACCAATTAATAGACATTTGGATGCAAAAGATTTCACATAATTTACTGAAACAGTCTGGAAATAATCCAGTTAAACCACACGAATGAATTCAGTAAAAAACTGCAATAGTGTTATTAAATAACAAAAAGTCAAGTATCATAGAATAATAGCACACTAAACATAGGTTGTTGTGTGCCATAGGACGTTATGTTATAAATCTCCAGTAACCTCCAGAACTGTTGGGATATTCAAGTGTCATCATTTTGGTAAAGAAAAAAATATTTTCAAATGGGAGTAAGATTATCTTCCTTTAAATCATGAACTATATACTGGTCTAGAAAATGTTAATTTTCACTGCTGAGGTCAAATTTACAGTATGTTAGTTATTGTGGTCAGTAAGTGGATTCCACAATTATACGTTGAATCATAACTTGTTACAAAACATGTTTGGAATTTATCCTATCTGCATCCTTGCCTGCATTTCTGAGGTGAGGGAACCTAGCACTGGACTCGTGGTCACAGGTTACAGCATATCTCTGAGTTTTAAGTTATGTCTATATAATTTTTTCCAGTTTGTCCTATAAAAACGGTAATCACAATCTTTGCAAGAAGCTGAATAAACGCCTCACTGACAATTTGGGAGAGTTGTTTCTCAGGATTGTCTTTACTATTTTCATTCTTCAACTACATTATCACAATGGCGAGAGCTTGTGGCACGAGAGGTTAGGTTACGTTTGGTTCGTCAGGAAACAGGACAAGTGTTTCCTGACGCGGGTCTGAGTCAGATGATGACCCGCTGTAGGAGATTCTGGTCATCTGACCGAGGCCTTCCGCTGGCTTATCGGTCTACCCCTTTAAAAATTATGGTCATAGTTATATCACAGCAGAGTTATAGCAACACTTTTTCATATTTGTGTTTTATGTAGCATTAAGTTGTAATATTATCTATACAATTTTCGTGACTTTATCTACAGTCCATGTCAATGAACACATGAATACTGTAAAATGAACGCAGTTTAATGTTACCAACTTCACCATAAAACCTCAAGGTTGCATATCCTAAAGGATCTTAAAAACGTAAAATGTAATATTTGTTAAAACTTATGAAAAAATGCTCATGTGAAAATTTAATTTAAAACGACTGTAATATAGAGTATGTGATGAATGATTTGAAAAACCGACAAGTTGAAGGTTGAGACACTTATGCAACATATGGGAATCTTTATTCAGGAAACATTTCGCCACATAGTGGCTTCATCAGTCCAATACAAAGCAGAAAGGTGTAAGTAGAGGAGGTGTTCGAGGTAATCAGTCCCTCAGCCTGGAGTCGATGTGTTCAGTTCATCAATCTTGTAGAAAATGCAGCATAGGGCCGTAGATGTGGCTTATATACTGTAGTCAGGTGAGGCGAAGCAGGAGGCTGGGTCATAGTGGTACCATCCACTAGTCAAAGTAGGTCTTCGTCCAGAGATTGGACAAGTGTTGAAGAATTCTTTGTATCAAGATCCCATAATGCTGCAGTGTCTGACAATTGTGATGAATGGCTGAGGGACTGATTACCTCGAACTCCTCCTCTACTTACACCTTTCTGCTTTGTATTGGACTGATGAAGCCACTGTGTGGCGAAACATTTCCTGACTAAAGATTCCCATATATTGCATAAGTGTCTCAACCTTCAATATAGAGTATATCTAAAAACTTAATCGTATTCAGCTTAATGTAAGGGACTGTCTAACATATACAAACTAAGTAAAAAAAACTCAAATCTTCCATTAAAAAATCACATGTATAGTTTATCAACAACCCGTTTCACTCATTTAACATTAGAAAAGAGAATACCTTTAAAAAGGCTAGTAAAATTAAAATTGTATGTAAAAGATTTCTTTGTACTGGTCACAAAAATTTCTCCAGAAACTTTCCAATTACTGCAAACAATGTTTAACATGAAATGCAAATTTACATTTTGTGATACACAGTTTTATCAGTTTTGGCCTTCAGTTAAATTATCGGCTCTTACCTAGCCATTTTTTTGAAGTTCTCCTTTTAAGGAGTGTGTAGATCATTGCGATATGTCTACTTGTGGGTATAAAGTAACGTAACGCAGAGCAAGTCTTTATTCTAGGCACTTCACTCAAGAGTGAGCTTAATCAGACTTTATAAGCTCAATGTAAAGCGAAATTTCGTATGAAAGACATGCTTGGTATTAGTTGTCTTTACACCCAATTATCAGCTTGTCGTCCAAGTCACTATGTCAACTGTTTTCTTTTTGTTTTGTTTTGTTTATTTGTTCTTCTGGTGACAGTCTTCATGTTTAAACACCTCGCTTAACCTATTAGACGATCACACGATGCTTGTAATTGTTCGCTCAGGACATTGAGTCCAGGTATGCCAGTGGTCGCAGCTGCCGTGGCTCACTGTAATGCCATTGGCTATCCTACCTTCACGTGTTCTTTGACGCAGGTCATATTACGACATGGGCCAGTGTCAAGTGATTTCCTTGCAGCAAACTAATAACCTTCTCATTGTTAGTGTTCTCTGAAGTGTATATTCCATCATTACCGTACTACTTTGTATGAATCAGTAAATTTACTTGTAAGTGTTTACAAGATGTGTTTCACATACTTCAAAATCTTCAGATTCTTGAAAAAGTTAATGTGGAAAGCAGATCAGAGATGTTAAGGCTAGTGGATGGAGGTATTGAAACCATGGGATGACACGAGACGATGGAGCCAGTGGATGACGGGTGTTAACGAAGTAGGTGAACCACAGATATTTAAACGTGGTGATAAGGTCAGAGGAAAATGCATGTTGACGAGGTATGACATGTATTCATGGAGCCAGTGGTGTTACTGACGCGATTATGAACCTAGTGGATGAAAGGTATTTAAAAATGATGAGATCACTGAACGACAAGTGTTGTTCAAGCCAGTGAATGACATATGTTGATGAGATCAGTAGATGACAAGTATTAATGAAACCAGAGAATGACAGGTGTTTGAAGGCTTTAAAAATGCACCAACAGAAAAATATAAACATACGATGGTTTGTTTGGATTTTTTTATATAAATTATGTAACCATGACAACACAGGTTACAATGATGTTTCTGACATAGACATATTTAGACAGTTCAATAAGAAATATATTTACTGTGACAGAGTATAAGCGAGGGTAAATTTATGAAACATTAGATAATTTTCAAAGCCTAACCTTCATTATGGAAAAACAGGCACAAACCTTATAATATTCAGGATATTTGTTGTTTAACCTGACTTCAGGCTTCTTTCTTTTTTTTTTCATGCTGTTGAAACAGCATGAACATTTTAACATTCCGGTTTACAGAGACAGAAGATTTAACTTGTTTCTGTTCACATTCATTTCTGAACAGATTTCTCAGCAATGTCAGTGGAATCTTCTCATATGTGAATATACTTAACACGTAGTCATAAAAATATAAATGATCATGTAGACTTTTGGGAAACTGAGTTCCATCATATTATAGGAAGGTCTAAAGTATCTTTACGTCCTCTGTAAAGTATACTTTATCTTTGGATGTAGTGGGAAGGTCTACAGTATCTGTTGTAGATAGTTTTACAGTATATTTACATGTATATAACTTACAAATTTTTATAATTCATATTTATGTCTATTCTTTGTGCCATTACAAATAGTCCCATGTTTGTTTGTTAGTTTTTAGACTCATCGACTACACGAGTAATATTAAGGGCCGAGTCCACCAAGAAACATCACGCATACTTTAATTACCGATATGGTCTTAAAACTTTCAGTATAGTATATACATAAGAGATGTATACTTTTCAGTGTATATACTCCATTATTATTACTTCCAGAACCATATATAGCGTTAAAATTTATATTCGCCTCAAAATATTGATGTTTAAGAAGGTGCTAAGTTTAACTAAATACGTGGGTTCTTTTCCTGAACATTTTCTGGGTATTTAGTCTCTCAGTAACTTGCAATATAACCTGAGGATTGCGAACATTTTTATAGACACCATCCCTGGTTGCTCTGCAAGTCTCACTTGTCACAGGCGAACATGCGAGTAGCCCCATACATAAGTAATAAGGACTCTCCGGGTAGTCTATAAGTAGCCGGTCTACTCAAGGTGCTGGGTTTGATAAGTTTCCAGACTGATTCACGCTCTCTGTTTAGAAGGAAAAAAGCTCTTCCTTGTTTCGCAGTCACACAGATTCTTAAGAAAAGAAGGCAGTGTTGACCTCGTTATTTCAGTCATGAGTCTCCAGAAATTTAAAATGTGTATTAACAAACTTTTCCTGCCCAGGGAGGCTCCTCCTACAGTTCTGAGACTAGTCAAAGAAATCATCATGTGAGCCTTTACCAAGAGAGATTCGAGCAGCTGGTAAAATAGGCACGGGAACTGGTGGGCCGTTGATGAGTTTCTTGAGCTTAACGTGTTGAGCTTTCTTATTCTTGGCCTGCAGCTTGTCCCGGAGCTCCCTCAAGTGCGCCTCCCTGCAACACAAGGAACAGTATCAGTAGCTAGAAATCTTTGACTCTTTTTTCATTTTACTCAAAACCTAAAGAGGAATTGACATACCAATCAGCATAGATAATGACACTGCAAATACAACGTAGTATTTTGCCGTGTCTGTCCTTTGGGCCAACTGAGTCTACATTGCATGTGGATGTAGATGTAGACTGATTATCATAACACCATAACACAACCCATGAATCACCTGATCATACTTTAATAAACAGATCAGGAGTTATTTAAGCTTTGATATTATATATATGTAATATATATATATTATATATATATATATATATATATATATATATATATATATATATATATACTTTACATCTATACTGTGCATCTGAGCGCTTCTGCAAAGACAGTGATTATGTATGAGTTAGGGTGAAAGTGTTGAATGATGAAAGTTTTTGTTTGGGGGGGAGGGGTTCTTTCTTTTTGGGTCACCCTGCCTCGGTGGGAAACGGCCGACGTGTTAAATATTAATATATATATATATTATATATATATATATATATATATATATATATATATATATATATAATATATATATATATATATATATATATATATATACTTCGTATAATAAAACTTATATTGTATGCGGAAATAAAGCAACATTTATACTTAGTTTTGTATTAGGGATTTTTCACCATTTTCAATTTCAAAATAAAGTTAAAGAAAATCAAAATTTCTCTATAATCTTATAATATATTGTATTAACTCTAAAACATATAAAAAAATCAAAATCATTATTCTCTTACATAAAACGAATTTTAACTAACCGAAAGTTTAAAAAACTTAATTACATAATAAAGTTGTCCTACAGAATAAGTAAGCTTTAAGCTGATATTTTATCCTGTATTCTTAAATCAGTCACTGTAACGTTTATCAAAAGTCGGGATTTCATTATCGTACATAATTTTTGTATATATTTAAACGTTTTGCAGGTGAGCTCTGACCTTTTCTCCAGTGCTGAGTCGTTCTGTTGTGTCATCTTCCTTTCGAGTTCCTGACGTCGCTTCTCCCCCACGTCCTCCTTCCTGTAGAGGGACGCCATCTTCTCCTTCAGCGACTCCAGCTCCGCCTGCGAGAGGAATGGATTCGGGCTCCGTTACCTTCTTGTTCGTGGGTCACATTACACTTGCATTAGTGTGTGCTAACTGTGATGTGGTTGTGCTGACAAGGGTTCAGTAGTTGACAAAGAGCGAGGAAGGTTGAATTTGAGAAGAGCCTGTTCTTCATGGGGTCAATAGCCTTAAAGCGGTAGGCTTGGAGCAGAATGTAATTAATTACAACTTTTAGTAATTGAAATTGAATTTTCTGATTAAAAAGTAATTGTTATTGACTTGTCTAGCTTATATCTGCTTAAATTACATCATAAAACTGGGGCATCATGATGGGCTAATGACCTAGTGAAAGTACACGTCAAGAGGACTGTGCATCTATTAGACGTAGGCCTTTTGGTCTATTGGAAGGATTCACCTTCCAATAGAAATGATGGTTTGCATAGCCACTTGAACACCGTCCCTCTTTTGTCTATGGCTAAATAATTAGACAGCGGCTGATATATCAAAATGTGATGGACAGCCGTAGTGAGACAACAACAGGTGACCAAATTGATTATGTAGCAGCGTTTCTGTGTGTTCTGATGCCACATGTCAACACAGACTTGTCAGTGATTACTCACTTTATTTTCTTCATTTAATTATGTTGCATTTCATATTTTGGAAGACATCACTAATAGTATTACGGCATAGGTTACATATAGATGTACAGTATCTATCACATTAAAAAAATCCTATATGAGTATACTGAGTTATTTATAAATATGACATTACATTTCTACATTTTTATATTTATATCTGTATATCTTATCGTTATATCATATCAGTTTATCTCCCGACTGGTTCCTGTACAATTTGGTGGTAAACATGCAGCATCCGGACTGTGTGATCAGAAAAAAATGTTTGCTGCAGAATTATTTACATATAGCTGTGAGACATGAATAATTTTTCTAACAATTATTAATCTGTTAGATAGGAAAAAAATGCTTTGAGAAATAATGATAAATTCCTTAGACTGTTAGATTATGTAGGAAATTAACAATTATTACGGTGTTATAATAGACAGGCATAGGTGAATACTGACGGAATTCATAGTTTAGTTCTGTAGGTTCGTAATGGTGTATATTTATAGAAAATTATTCAAATTAAAATGTGATACAACATATTTACGAATGTTGAGGCGGGTGTTTGAGAGCAATATTAAGTACAGTGTTAACCACAACTTGATGCACTAATGCAGGACGATAAGGAATAGAACAAGCAGCGAATATATGTGGGAAAGCAGGACTAGAACATGTACGTAAAGGATGAGGGACGAGACAGGTTATTATTATTATTATTATTATTATTATTATTATTATTATAAACAGGTACGAAACGCAGTTATAGAACAAATGTGATAATACAAAGAAATGTTTATTGACATTAACTCATAGTAAAAGAGTATAGATAACATGAGAGAAGATAAGAACATAAGAATGGAGGAACACTGAAGCAGTCCCACTGGCCCATATAACGCAGATCTTTCTCTACACCAACCACTCCCACCCACCAACAAGAATAAAATTCTTATGTCCGAGAGACTCGCCTGTCGCCTTTCGTTGGCCTGATGCATCCTCCTGGAGACGTCGTGGTGAGTCAGGTCCCGCAGGCTGAACTTGTTCCTCTGTGACTCCAGATGCTGTTTCGTCTCCTCGGGAAGGAAGTCCTACAACAGGGAGACAGGTATAGCAGGTAAGTAAAAGTCTTGCATTAGCCAGCTGTGGCTCAGCTGATGCCATGAGAAATTACGAGAGGGTAAGATGACGCGTGAAGGCGTTATGTTGCTGGTAATGATAGGGAAAGTGTTAGCAATTATTATTATTATTATTATTATTATTATTATTATTATTATTTAAAAATGTAACTATTTCACAGTGCCATATCTCCTGGGAGGGAAATTTTTGGCTTGTCAACTATTGGTAGACGTCACACTTCTGAGTCGGCAAAAACTCGAATTTAGTTCATAAAACATTTAATTATGTTATTACTATTATCATAATTCATTCAGTGCAAGGAATGGATGAACGATCGATCCTCCGTCTACTAAACACAAGACACACTGCTACTTTACTGTACTCACAGAGTTGATCCTCAGAAAACCTCTGAACTCTCCCTCTTACCTTAGGATTGAGTTTACTGCTGCCGGCAGACTCTGTCTGTGGGGTGGCTTCGATAATCTCGTAGGCCACCCCTCTACCCGCCTTCTGCCTGGAAGTGGTAATGAAACCCTCCTCCCGCAGTGACTCCAGGATAGACTGCTCCTCCTGTCGTGCCTTCTGGTACCCACTCAGAAGTCGAGGACACTGCTTCCCAGTGATGGTCAGGTCTGCGAATGGTGGTGTTGTAGTTAGAACTAGTGCAGTGATGACTACGTTAAGCATGTGAGAGTGATGATAATTGTAATGTTGACGATTAGCGAGTATAGAGAGCGAAAATGATGAGAGGATGGTGATCATTACTGATTTTAAGGTAATACAAATACTCTGATAATAAAACAGTAACAATATCAATTAAAATATTACAATAACAATTATAATTAACTTCATTGCATATTTTAATTCACATGTTTAAAAATATATTCACTGAGGTAAGCAGCAGAGAGAAGGAAATTTCTGAGTATGGCAAAAATATTTTGAGAATAAGCAACGTATTTATATACAGAATGTTACAGTCTATACTCGTCTCCCATCACTGTTCTGTTGTATCTCTGTGGTAATTTGTTCCTATGTGAAGACTAACAGTTGTGCTTCATGCACTGAATGACTCACACGGGTTTAACACTTAATGTAAAAATGATGAGTTAATTTAAGTCTTTTTTTCATATTTTGATTTTTGTGTGCCTGCTCGCACACTGTTATTGTCAACATTTCATGGTGATGACTGAAACCCTTGACTGTCAAACCTTTATTTGTTTTTTATCGGTCTGTGTTATTGTACGAGGGTCAGGATAGACTGTAGGTGAGATAGCAGCTGTAGGAAGGATAGAGAAAAACTGCTAAACATAAGACACATTTCGTAGTTTCAAATTACTTGAAAAAAAAAATAATCCACTGGAAACTGTAGGCAAAATGGTCTTTGAAATAATAATAATAATAATAATAATAATAATAATAATAATATTATTATTATTATTATTATTATTATTATTATTATTATTATTATTATTATTATTATTATTATTATTTTCAAGAAGAAGCGCCAAGGCCGTAAGTGTCAAACAGTCTGCGGCATGGAAAGTAAACAGGTTTAATTAAAAGAAGAGAAGGGAGAGGTGCTCTGAGTTCTTCATCAGTATCAAGACATCCTCCTTGAAGCCTCTGGAGTAATATGCGACCATATCGTGAGTTCGAAAACCGACAAGAGAAAAACTTTACTGTTTTTACTCACGCATATTTCTATTGGGGTTATTAAAATTTAATTGAGCTCCCATTTATAGTAAATAGTCTTTATATAGCATCTTTGTTTATGTTTTTATTTAATTATGGCGAAGCGCTCAACTCTTAGGTGTCTTAAAGTGCCTGAAGAATAGGAGGTATTCGGGAAGGAGCCTTGGATCAAGAGCCACTCACTGGCAACGAACAAGCCTGTGGTCTACGTTTATTGGTATGGAGATTACCAACAGACTGGTCTGAGACCAGACAAGTTCTGTGGACAGAGGATCAAGCCTACAGCACTCCCTGTTATGAATGACACAAACGGGTTGACTGTTTCAGGAAATACATTAAAGAAAGTTGAAGTACGGTACATTTAAAGAGTGCGTGTCAAGGCACTTGAATAAGCCTCGTCATACTTCATGGGAACGACCTCGTGCCTTCCAAGAAGAGGCCGACAGGTACGTAAATTATCTTGCATCGACCGTAAAGCGAGGAGCATGCAAGGTGCTAGACGGTGACTATCTCCCATTAACATTCAAAATAATACAGCTGTAATTTTCTCTCAAAATCTGCATTGCTCACTGGAAAAGCATTGATTTGAATACCCATAACCAGCATCACGGAAGGTTTAATACAATGCCTCTAAGATTCATAATTTTTAATGAACTTAAAGTTTTAACAGTTTCTCAGTTGAAAGATACTCGTTAGAGAAGTAAAGGTTTAACCCAGATACTATCTGATGAACCAAAGAGTAACATAAATCTAGTGAATGGAAGTTTTTTTTTTGTCATCCATCTCCACGAACAGGTCCCCAAAAAACGGTCCGTTACAAGAAATAAGTGATATTTTAATGTAAAATGTATCTTGAGTGAATGACATTTGAAATGAAAAGTCTTTCGTTATATCTCATTCACACTCTCGAGGAATGTAAATGGGAATATGAATGACAGATTGCATGTCAATGGCATACAATACCGAAAAAAATATGAATTAGACACATGTGCAACATCTGGGTAACTTTACTTGTAGACGTTTCGATAAAGAATATTGATAAAGACCATATTATATTATATTATATATATTATAATATATATATATATAATATTATATATATATATTATATATATAAATATATAATATATATTATATATATTATATTTATATATATTTTATTTAAATATATCTGTCGTGCCGAATAAGTAAAACTGGTCACTTTGCAAGAACTCATCTAAAATTAAGTCCTTTCTAAAATTTTCTTTTGTACGTTTAAAGATATATATTTTTTTTCATTTATGTTAATGTAAAAATTAATAATTTTGTACCAAAAGAACCTTAGGAAACTTACCCAACCTTATTATAACAAGCGCAATTTAATTTAGCCTAATCCAACTCAATATGTTTTATATAAGTTTACAATAATTTAATAATAAACAAACACAATGAAAAATATATTTTTGCGTTAGGTTCAGAATGATTTTTTGCGAAATCATTGCATACACAAATATTCGCTTGCCTTATTCCGCAAGAAGAGCGTTGCTATTGAAGCCAAAATCACAAGTTTTTACCTCTTCGACACGACATATATATATATATATATATATTTATATATATATATATATATTATATATATATATATATTATATATATATATATATATATATATATATATATATATATATATATATATATATATATATATTAATTACCAAGGTTCTCGATGGGTGTGAAGTCAGCCTCGACCCTCTTGATGAGCTCCGGAGGTGAGTTTTCGGTGATGACGAAAGAGTAGTCATCGTCGAGGTCACAGATACCAGAGTCGCTGGAATCGACGCTCCTGGCGGAGGTGGAGGTAACAGAGGAGGGAGGTGCTCCTGGCTGCTTGAACCATGGCGCCAGGCTTCTTCTGCAGTCCAGGGACTCCTGCAGCGAGGAAAGAAGATATAATGTTAGCACCTGTAACACCTCATGCCCTTCTGCATTCCAGAGACACCCAGGGAAAGAAAACAAGATTCAGTTTAAGCACATGTAGTGGCAGTGCCTCGGATCCGAGAGAGACTTATTCTCAAGTGGAACCGCTGAATCACGATGGGTCGTACAGCGTTTGGGGAATGGAGATTAATTAGGTCTGATTCAGGAAAGTGTGAGTAGCTGCGATAGCCTTCACTAACATCGAGGCACTCTTCTCTCCCTCCTGGAAGAGTGCCAAGCAAGGAAGGCTGAAAGTTTACGTTTTGATTATTTCTTCCCTCTGATATTTTGTGCCCAAAATGTCTTTGGACACCGATGTCACTTCAAACTCGAAACTTCACTAGGAAAAAGAAAATACAAATGGCGTTAGTCGACGAGTGGTAATTAAAAGACACCCACAGTGGAACCTTCATCAAATATTTGATTAAGTCTCACTGTGGGTGAAACGTCATTAAATGTGTTTTGAAAATACATTAGAAAATAATGGGAAATAAACGCAACCATTGGAAATAAAGGCATCCATAAGAAATATTGACATCCATGAACAATAAAGGCAAATACAGGAAATAATGTTACCATAGGAAAAGAAAGGGCAACTATGGAAATAAACAGTAAATAACACAAGTGTGTTGATGAAGTGTATCAGTCGGGAATATTTTGGATAGCAGTAAATGACCTACGATTCCGTTTCTAGTTATCGTTGAAAGTCTTGGTTGCAACGTTTGATTACCAGTCACAGACAGCATATCAGCAGATCCCATGAATAGTCAAGACAACTTCGCAAACACTTTACTGCTGCTTGTAACTAACTAGAAAATTCTCCAGTAATTGCACAGGCACCAGTATCCCCAAAATATAACAGAATTTTAAGTTCTGTTGTATTTTCTCGTAATCTCAAGTTATCAGAGTTGAAGGTTTGAAACCGTTCAGGCGAGGCACTCGCAAATTATTGCAGGAAAACAAATTGAAACCCAAAGAGCCCAGAATCAATCCAGATGTATCAGAAAGATACACCGACATTTAAGGGTTAAAGCCGATCAGAAGAGCCTTTGAATTACTGGACGGAAACCAAAATCGGGAATGATCTACATAAAAAAAATAGACTAAATGGCACTTGCACCCGGCAACACACCTATCGTTACATGAATCTTTCCCGAGTTACAGCACACACGTTGAAAATTTATGGCCTATCGGATGAGGCGTTCTCGATTTATAAAAGAAAACCTTGGGGGAAGACAAAAAATCAAGCAGACATTTAAAAGTACCCTATCACTTTAAGGTATACCTAAAAAGTTCTTTAGTAAATAATACAGCAACAGTACTATAGTAACAAAATCAACAATAACATTTCTCCTCACGACCAAACCTGAAAGCAGAAAGTTCATGAGAAGACACATGTGCAGCTCCTGTGCACTCGACTGATGAGTTTGCCGCGCGAGCGATAAGTTACCTAAAGTGCTGGATATGTGACTGGAAGCTAAGGTTTAATCAGCGCCAAACTCTGCGGAATTATGGCTTCCACTTAGACTGTGTTGGGTGGCAGTGCCTGCACTGGGTAGCAGTGCCTGCGCTGGGTGGCAGTGCCTGCGCTGGGTGGCAGTGCCTGCGCTGGGTGGCAGTGCCTGCGCTGGGTGGCAGTGCCTGCGCTGGGTGGCAGTGCCTGCGCTGGATGATGGTGCTGGTGCTATTTATAAGGACCCGATACACGCTGTGAGGTACACTGTTCACATTAATTAGGAACTATCGACTACACGAGGGTTTTTAAGGGTGACCCCACCAAGCCACAACAAAAATGCTTGATCCCTGTGACATTCAGTCGTACAAAGCCTCATTGTGTATAAAATGATATATGCAAACTCTTCTCGGTGTTTATATATGAAGACATGTACATTTTCGTGTATATTCACAGATATACACATGCTGGAACATTGCACTTACTTTAATAGGCAAAAAATATTATTCGTTTAAACCTTCGTGATATGAATTTAATCACGCTATTGCTTAAGTAGTTATAAGTAGTTATACTAGTAGTTGTAGTCGTCGTAGTAATGGTAGTACTATTAGTAGTAGTTGTTGTAGTAGTAATAGTAGTAGTAGTAGTAGTAGTAACAGTAGTAGTCGTATTAGTAGGCTTTATATTAGCGGATTTTGTTGATCTAAATATGGTTACTTATTTCAGTTTCAAGAGTATGCAAGTGTCATGTGTGTATATAGGCTTCATACAGCTGTATACAGGTGTAATACAGATTCGAAGAGATTTAGATGTGTATACAGGTGCAATAGATTTGTTCAAGTGAATACGTGTGCCATACATCTGTACACGTGTAAATAGGTAAGCATGTTAAAACAAGTAAAAATGTGTATACAAGTGTACAACTGTACATGTTAAAATAAGTACACGTTTACACAGGTGTACATGTATGTACATGTGTACTACATGGGATACATGTGTGCACAGGTATAAGGCAGGTATGTAGAAATGTAATACGGGTGTGCACATGTGTACTTAAGGTGTATACTGGTGTATTGTGTAGGTACATTACTTACAATGCTGGATTATAATGATTATTCAAAGGAAGAGCCAAAGGGTAAACAAATGTAGTATTTAGTGTCAAGGTTGTGACTGACTCTGTGACCTGCTTCTTTTCTGATGGAAGTGTGAGTGGGTGTGTGGAAGTGTGGATGTTTGGGAGCGCAGGTTTGTGGGAGTATAGGTGCGTGGGAGTGCAGGTGTTTGGGAGTGTAGGTGGGGGAGGGTGCGGAAGAAAATGTGACTTGGGGGGCGAATGCTGGAGTTAGGGGTGGAGTTTGTGGTGGGAATCGAGTCGGGGGTGGGATTTAAGGATGGGAATAGAGCCAGGGGTAGATTGAAAGTAGGGAAGAAAAGTGCTGAGTGATAAGGGGAGATATCGTCAATCATTCCACTAAGGGTTCAACAGATGCAGATCTTTCAAAGGTTTCATTCCAGCGATACTAAAATTACTCTTCTTGGGAATGACCACCTCTCAAGATGGCCTATCCAGTACACAGGAGAGTTATTTTTTTTTATCAGACGGCTGTAAAGAAGGGATGTAATTACAGGGAGAGGGGAAAGAAAGATATAGGGATAAAGGAGGGGAAAGGAGGAGGAAAGATAGGGAATATGACTGATATTTTCAGTGAGGTAAGAATGGCATTACCAAGCATTTCAGCGTGTGTTCAGTGACTACAGCATCTTAAAAGATTTTATTTCAGCAGAGTTGGAGTTACTTAGAAGTATCTTCTCTGATGATGGATTTCCCATTCAAGGTAACTGAAATTACTAAGGAAAGTAATATGCCAGTAAAATTCAGTACAATATAGCAATGATTTTCAGATATCTCTGAAAGGATATCTTCAAGTGGTTGAATAAACTGTCTTTCGTATCCACCATGAGAACACCTGATACGATCGACTACAAATTTTCAACACTGATATACTGTAACTGGGAAAACATTAATAAAACTATTGACATTTACATTTTTTCTGTGGTCTATAGTATATAGACCATTCCAGGACTTCGTTTAATTGCGATAACTTGAGAAAACCTGTTCAGATCGGCTTCAAACTTTCAACATACGTGTATTCGTCTTAAGATACGGTTATGATTGTTATTAATGTATCATTTTGTTTATTATTTCCAGTGAGATATCGTGACTATGTCTCATCTGAACAGGTTATGCATGACTGATGAGTCACCTGGCACTTGATTGTTGGATAATGTTAAGTTACTCATCGAAATTTAACCTAGGAAATGTTATTTACGTGAAGTGCTAAATCCGTGATGGTTCTTGAGAGCAAGGACAGATAAAGACTCCGTCCTCTGTCCGCAGAACCTTAGTCAGAAACACTAATCTCGCAGCCAGGCTGCCCCAAGCTGGAGAGGATGATAAGCAATTGTGGAGGGAACGATAAACTTTAAGGGAGGTGGGATAAAAATAAGGGGAGGGAGAATAAATAGTAAAGAATGGGGGTTGTACATTTGGATAAAGAAAATAAACATTAGAGAATGGGGGGATAAACAATGGGGAACGGGTTACCATTAACAGTAGTATTACATGTGAAACAGTTGGTTATCTTTATTGTTAAAACGTTACCAAACTGTTGCACTTGTCTTACTCATCAAATTGTAGGTATTTATGCCATTTTCAACATAAAATATTTATGTATATGAGTAGCTTAAGTCTCATACTGTAGTTCAGTGATTCTCAACCAGAGGTAAATTTACCCCTTGGAGGTAAAAAATTACATAGCAAAGGGTAAATATTTTTGTGCAAAACTTGAATAATTAGTTCTTTCTGACCTTGTTTTTCTGTCCCTTTATGATAGCGATAATTTTTTTTGTATGGAAGAAAGAGGGGTAAATGGAGAAATATATCAAGCCGAGGGGGTTAATGATGGAGGAAAAGTTGAGAATCCCTGCAGTAGGGTTTTCATACACAAATACATAATACAGAGGTAGACACATTGTGTAGTGTCATACAGGGGAGGGGAAGCAGGAAGGAAACCAGCTTCCTCTTCGCCCCTCGACAGAGTACTTTTTGCCACTTAAGTTAAATAATTGACATTTCACAAAAAATATCAGGACAGTTACTGGGGAAATAAAAACATGTAGTACGGAACACAGTTATTATGCTAATAAAGAAATTTATTTGGTAAAAGACAAATATCGGTAATAATTTTCTTCGACACATTGATAAGGTACTGCGGAGGGACCAATATAATAGTAATTGGGGTTCATTACATAGGTTGCTTCATAATTATGAGAAACTGAGACACAAACTTATACAAGTGATGGAAATACTAGTAATCATTTAATTCACTACAGTCCACTTATCAAACTCCATTTCATTTTTTGGTTCATCTATGGTCATGGCCCGACTCTGTCCTCTCACACCCATCACACAAACAACCCTTGTCTCTCTGGCCAGTTC